GAGAAAGACATGCTGGGAAAATAAGTTCTATGCCATACATTTAAGTTGCATTCCAAAAGATATCGAATAGAGCAAGGTGAACAAAAAGTACTCCACCCAGATACAGCATTTACATAAAATATCTCCCCTCCTCTCCTTATTCAAACAATTCCCCCCCCCCCCTTCCTCTCCCCTACATCCCCCCGGTTCTTCCCTGTTCCTTCCCCATTCAACGCCCATCCCTTTCCTCACCTCCGCCAGTTGCTGCAGACTCTCCATGGCGTCGAGATCCTGCGAGACAATCTGTAAAAGATCGAGTGTGGGGCGGGGGGGGGGCGTTTGCGAGAAGAGGAGGAGAGAGCAAAGCGGAGGGGGAGAGAGGGAGTGGAGGAGGAGAGATGTTCAGCTTGACCCTAGCATCTGCCACCCCGTCTGTCATGCCCAGGAGCTCCTCCAGCAGCCTCCCATACGCGAGCACCTGCAGAATTTCAGCCGTGCGCACACCAAGATACCGTAAGCACTTCGAGGCGAAGGAGGAGAGGGACGGGGAGAGGAGCTTTCATGGCGTCGCGATGGAAGCAGAAGCTCGCCCCGAAGTCGAGCAAGCAGGCCCACCTGCTAGAGGGTGAGAAGGCGAGGAGGAAGAGTAGAGGGCTCACAGTGAGGAAGGCTCCACCAGGATGTTGTGTGCATACAAGTCGCCATGGCAGATACCGGCGTCATGAAGTGCTGCAACGAAGTTGGTGATGATGATGATGAGAGAGGGAGGGAGGTGAGAAGTATGGAGGGGGAGAGGAAGAGAGTCTACACCTCTCAGGCCGTTGGCCATGGCATAGGCGATGGCGATCACAGCAGAGAGCGAGAGGGGACCGACAATGGTGTCATTGTGCTCGCCAGTTGTTGCTGAGCTCCTCGTGTAGACATCACGCGTGATGCTCGCAAGGCTCGGAGGTTTTGCCAGGATCTTCGACCCCTGAGGAGCGAGGTGTGTGATGGCTGCCAGCTTCGGCTCCTTCACTATGCCGATCAAGCTCTGCAACACCGTCACAGGAACCCCCAGCAGCAGGTCAACTCGCCTGCACGTCCCCACAGCTCACAGAGGAGGCGATGGCGATCTCATCCCACGGAGAGCCGTCAGAGATCGCTTCCTCCTCGTGAAAGATCTTCACCGCCACCGGTGTCCCCGTCGGACGGAGGAGGGCGCGATGAACGCAGCCTGACGCTCCTCTCCCGATCTGCTCGAACATCTCCAGGTCTTCCATGCTGTACGTCTTGGCGATGTTGTGAGGGGCGCGCGTCAGGTGCTCGTTCCCTGCTAGTCCGATCCAGGAGAGTCGGGGGAGGAGGAAGAGACGTTCAGGAATGGCCTCGAGGCGGTTGTTCGCCAGCCTGATCAGCTCAAGGTTGTTGCAGTCGGCCAGCTCGTCGGGGAGGCTCATCAGCTCGTTCTGGGCCAGCATGATCTTCTGCAGCTTCTGCAGTCTTCCTATCGATCGGGGCAGCTCAGCAATCTTGTTGTTGGTCAGGATGAGCGCCTTGAGGGAGAGCGGGAGCCGGTCCTCCCCGACCTCGACCAGCCTGTTGCCCTTGAACGAGAGAGTCTCGAGGTTGTGCAAGCCTTTGATGGCTGGGGGGATCCGTTCGAACTTGTTGCCGAGGAAGAAGAGAATCTTGAGAGAGACGAGGCCGCCGATGTCATCAGGGAGGGAGCTCAGGTTGTTTCCTCCCAGGTTCAGCAACTCCAGGGAGGGCAAAGAGCACACTTGAGCAGGGAGCTCGTTCATCTTGCAGTTGGAGAGGTCGAGGTGCGTCAGGTCCGACAGACTTCCGTCCTCTATCCCCTGCACCAGCTTCGTGATCTGCATCGCGTCCCCCCCCGCACTCCAGCTCCTCCCCGCCAGCTCTCGCATGGCGGCCAACCAACTACCAGTTCACCTGGGGAGGGGTGAGCTCGCCCCGCCAGGGCTTACAGGAAAATCGCTGTCCTCGTCCATATGAAGACCTTTCATATGAATTATACAGATTATTATTGCTGTCTTTAATCAGTTTCTATCAGAGATATTGAGGGGGACCCGAGAACAAGCTTGTCAAGAGAATCAACGGAAAGTGAGTGTAGATTGATGCAGTGAGAGAGGAGGGGGGAACAGTAGGACAGGACAATCGGAGGATAGCCCATCATGGCAACAGGTAGTCAGGCATGACAGTAGCTCTCAGTAGGGTAGACGTACTCGGTTGTGACCGGGGATTGTTGACAGTGTTAGGGAAGAGGCAACAGAGAAGATGACTATGTGATGTGCAAGCCTTTCATTCCTCATTGTTTTTCTCGTGCACTTTCTTCAGATAGGAGGATGCAGCAGGAAAAGGCAGCGTGGGAGCTGTACGCTAATATACCCGACCCGCTTCATTGGGTTGCGTCCATCGGCGACCATGTCGCCATTCGACAGCTCGTCAGTGGCAGTGATGGAGCAAAGATGATTCCAAGGAGCGAACAAGACTCGTCGGCGAGGACTCCCTTGATGAAATCTTGTGAGAGGATCAGTGGAATTGCTGTGTCTTCTTACTGTACACTCTGCAGGTTTCTGGGGGAAAGGCACAGCAACGCAACAGCTGATCGCTGAATATCATCAGAAACCTCGTCCTGAACCGCTGCAGATCAATCAGGAAGGGCAAAATGTCTCATGCCCATCGACTTTGCATGACGATTCTGGCAGTGCGACAGTATAGGATGGAACGCTCTGTTCTACGCAGTAGCAGGGGGAAACATGCAGACCGTTCGAATGATGCTCAAGAAACATGGACTGGACGTGAGTCATCGAGACATCTCGGGGAAGAACGTCCTGCACGTTGCGGCACAGCATTGTCAAGTGAGTCGAAAGAAAAACCTTCGATACATGTGGTATTCAACGCTGTGTTAGAGTTCAATCCTCAGCCTGCTCCTGAAACTCGGACTCGACGTCAACTTGCAAGACAAGCATGGCAGAACTCCTCTCCACCTCGCAGCCTCTCTTCATTCAGCGTGATCTACTTCGCACTTTCTTCCTTCGTCGTCACCTTTTCTCTCAGGTCCCTACACTCAGTCTTGTCGTCATCGGCCACCGGGACAGGCAAATTCAAGATGGTGAAGCTCAACAGACCTCCCTTGCCTGGCGTCAACTTTCCTCTGCCGGTCAACAAAGGCAAGAACCTTGTGGACATAGAGAAAGAGTACCTACGTGCGTCATTGCTGCTATCCTGATCTCACTTCCCCCTGACACACTACTCAAGGAACGTGGAAGAAGACGGATGGAATCAGGCCATTTCCATTGGAGGAGCAGATCAAGTGCTGCAGCGCCCTTTTGCATGCGGGTGCGGATCGACAGATTGCTGACGAGCAGGGTTTGAAGCCGGTCCCTGACGCTGCTATCAAGATTGAGAGTCTGACTTGGTTTGCCGCCAGATTGATCTGTGTAACAACAAGGAGGAATCCTTGACCTCGATCCTCAAACCGGAAGAAGCTGAGCCATGAAATCAAAGATTCTTGTGTGCATGAAATGTAAATAAAGCGAGAGAGGGAATAGTGGATACAGTTCGATTCTTTCACAGCAGTTTCCAATCCCAAGAGGGAACAACGAGCAAAACAAAGTTCAGAGAATTGGAGCTCAAAATCTATAGTCTATCAGCTTCAGTTTCCACCTTGCGCCTTCTTATCGGCCGCTTGCTTGAGCCACATTTGCTGGTAAAGTATCATCAACATCCTTCACGGCTCTCAGTCCCTCGTTCCCCTTACCATGCGTGCCTCCACTTCCTCCTGGCGCTTCTTCTCCTCCTCATCTCTCTGTCTGCGCCATTCCTCCTGCAACAAACATGAGTCGCCCCGCTTGCCATGCTCTTTCCTGCTCTACCTGCTCTGCATCCGATTCGATGGGCCCGCCCATCACCTTGCCGCCTCCGCTAGAGAAGACGTCGGCTGCTACATCCTTGGCTGATTCCTTTGGTGGTCCCCAGGTGCCTGCCTGCACCGAATACGAGGGCTTCACGTCCTCAATCACGTTGCCGAAGGCCTGACAAGTGCATCGGTCAGCCTTCTTTGGCCTCCTACCCGAGGACAAGAAAGCTCACATCCTTCACGACACCCTCCTTCTTCTTGCGCATGGCCATGTACTCCTCCCATGATCCAGGAGCACCCATATCAGACGTAGGGATCTTCAACGGGTCGACGATGACCCTTCCGGAGCGCTGTAAAAAAAATATCAGAATGTGGGGAACGCAAGAGCACAAGACTCACAGGGTCACGGTCGCCCTCCTTCAGCCTGCCACTGGTATCGAGACCGCTTCTAGCAGCGATGCCTGGCCGGAGGAACGTCAAACCATGGGATGCCATCACAGTATAAAACAGTCGCAACACTTGATACCTTTCTCCTCTGCAATCTTCTTGGCTTCCGCAAGTCGCTGTTCCACGCGGGACTTGATCTGATCGGACCTGTTGATCTGGAACGAATAGTTTCAAGTCTGACAGACGCATTCTCTCTCTCATCTAACCTGTCCACGATCTGCCCCAGCCCCGTCGTACTCCTCCTCCTCACTCTTTTTGTCCCAGTCCCAGTCCACCATGCGGAGGGAGGTCAAGCTTGGACGGAGAGCAGGCTTGCATGCATGGTTAGCCAGCCTGGTGGGAGAAGAGGAGGAGAGGGAGGACAGAGGCGAGGTGATGAAGCCTGAGGCCAGAGCGGCGGAGGAGAGGAGGAGGAATCGTCTGTGCATGTCAGATGCCCTTAAACCCAGTACCCCACCCCCTTCTTGACTCTAACAAGCGGGGTCCACCCCTGAACATACCCCCTTAAAATCATAGGAGTCAGGGGGTAGTATATGAGGGGGGTGGGTCCTCCAGGAAGAACAATCTCGAACTACTTTTACTCAACTCGTTATAGTTGCAACAACCTGCTGGCCCGGCCGGCCCGGGCGAAGAGCGTCAGGTCATTCCCCTACTTTCTCGTGCACCGCTATGCAGGACGCGACAAGTGCAGGCCTCAACTGACCCCCCAGAGAACCTCCTGCTCAAAGCTACAAAGGTGTCTAGCTCCAGCTTCAGCTCCAGCTCAGGCTCCAGCTCCTATCTTTGCCAGCACTACCGCCTACTAGCTGCTTTTCTTCCCCCTTGATCCCGTTTCGTGGTGAGGGTATTTTTGCTGGCTGCTATTCTCTTGTATCTTCCACTCGAGAAGTTCCAAGCGTTCCAAGGTAAATTTCTACACGTAGATTTCATCAACGCATGTCAGCATATGCCTCCCCGCTATCCCATAGCGGTAGAGGTCTACACAGCATGCGAAAGTAAGTTGGATCGCGAACAATCCGCATTCGAGCGAATGAGTTGCCGCTTGCGACATAAAGATCCATACATGCCTCTTCTCGTTGAGACCAAACTGTTGTATCTTGTTCCATGATTCTGACATGCTCCGTTCTTTAGGAGCGCAAGATCCAACAGTGTTTTGCCTTGGATAGATATTGTACATATGGTTTCATTGGGTTGTATTACAAAAAAGATATTTGATTGCAAAACTCTCAAATTCCAAACTTTTTCGAGAAGTTCTTGACAATGTCATCGAGTTTTTGAAAGAACCCTTGATTGGTTTGTATCTGGGATTTCGTTTCGATCAGCACGCTACGTTGAGAAGGAGAGAATTACCTCAATGTCCGTAGATTTTTCCAAGTCTTGATGAGAGTTCAAGTCAGCTCAAAGAAATCATTCAGCTGCATGTACCTTTCACGGGCTGGATAGGATTTTTTGGGTTCAATCCCTCTGCAAAAGATAGTGTCAAAAGGTAAATTTATCACTTTGCAAATGTCAATTGTTACCGCCTGCTGTTGGCTGATCCTGCACTATGGGATCCTTACCGGAGATTTCAACGTCATTCAGCTTCGTTTCAGTAGTTGCTTCAGGAACAGGCGCCTTCATCGTCTGCTTCTTCTTCTGTAATCATAATTATGATCCTTGGATTTTGATTGCACTTCGATCATTGTAACTCACGTCCATAGATTCTGTCGCAAGAACCTGCTTGTTCTCTCCAGATTCCTCTTGTGGGAGGGGGTACGAAAGCCCTTCGCCACTGAGACATCCGTCAGCGGAGAAAGTTAAACCGAAATCCTCACGTCAAGTACATGTCACTGTCATTCTCTTCACGGAGCTCTTTGTCACTCCATCGTTGATCGTCAGGAGAGAAGTCCCCCTTTAACTCTTCGAAATGGAAGCCCTTGCGTCCAAGGAACCATTCTGCATCCCTCACCTTTTGAAATCAGAATGTTCACGCCCAACAAATCGCAGCAGCAACCGTTAGCATACTAGAACATATAGAAAGATCAGAACAGTTCACCTGCTTGATGTTGCCGTCCTCCATATCATTATCTTCAAGATAGTCTCCGCTCAACAAGTACTCTAAGGCGGGTGGATAGCTCGCGCTCAGAGGCGTGTCCTCTTCATAGAAGTCATCTTCACTATCTTGGGGTCCGAGCAACGAGTCATCCAAGTCGTCCTCTAGCTGCTGAGACTCAAGATATCTCATCAGAGGGCCCGGATACCTTCACATTTCGTTCAGAAAATGAATTCAAATGGGTTTCCCACAGGTATCGCGAATGTTACAGTGGTGCACGAAAGTATCAATGGAAAGCAAATTGCGAGGAGAGGCTGAATCTCCAATCGAGCTCGCCTTTTGAAGACTAGAATTACCTGGCAACAAAAGTTTCCTCCAGCTGTACTCCCTGGCTTTCTTTCTTTCTTCGTGCGGGCTTGACCTTCACATTCTTCCCACTCAACAAGTCTTGTAAAGCTTGAGGATAGCGAGCCATTGTTGGGAGCTCCTCCTGCACTGCGAGACTTTCACCCATGTTGCTCAGCGATTCCAAATAGGCTTGCAAGGCTTGTGGATATCTGAGGGGAAAAAATCAGCTCCAAGAGACTCTGCGGGTGATTGCAAGAAACACGATGTGCGGAACAAACCAACTTGTCCTTGTACAGCATGACGCATGTATTCTCACCGTGCAGTAAGGGGCTGATCGGAATCTTTTTTCTTCGGGGTTCTCGCCGTTGAAGGTTTTGTCGACCTCTTTGTCTGTGAGCCGGGCCTGTCGCCCTGGTTTTCCGACGTGATCGCATCACTGGGGGGTGGCGTTGCAGCCTCGGAGCTGCCATGGGATGCTCTTCCTCCTCGTTTGTTTCTTGCAGATGGAGCTTCCTTTGCCACGGGTGATGATGACTCTCCCTTTTGCTGCTGGGATTGCACTGACACGGTTGACGGCTTGGCAAGATCCTTGGGATCGGGTTGCTTTCCCAACGACAGCGCCTTTGCCCTCCGCTTTACCACGGATCCTTCTTGAAGAGTGACCGTCCACCAACCATTGTTGTATTGCGTCAGCACACCAGACTTACCGTCAGTTAGCACGGCATCTCCAACCTCGAAGGCTCTGACGCTTTCCACCCTTTCCCCCTTGGCTTTCGCCATGCACACAAAAGAAGATCTGATTCGACTTGCCCGGCACTGGTCAGACACTGGGAGGCTGCGGATGAAGGCGGGGTGCTGGAGGGAACTCGTCTCAGATGATTCAAGAGCCCTCGTCGCTGCATGTAGCGCGCAGTAGAGCAGCATTCCCACCCACCACCGGCCCCCTCCTTGCCCCACCATTTTCCCGCCGCCTATGATGATGATACCCCTCCCTTCTCCTCACCCCACACCCCAGCAACTCAGACACCCCACCCACTTTCATACCCACCCCGTGGGACCAATTCTTGTAAATGATGAATCACCCCTACAAAACACTATCAAAACCACCCGTTAAAATTCATTTTTCAATCACCCCACCCTCAGTAAATCCTTGGTAACACTCACGTTCCCCCACTCGCAAACCCTACCGACTTACTCCGAAGAACCCCCTCTCATCCCCATTTCATCACGGGTGGGGTGGGTATTTTTTATCCACCATGGTCACCGGGTGCCGGACCGGGCCGGGCCGGGCCTCGCACTGAGTCGGGCGAGTCGAAGAGCGGTCAGCAGGTTATGAGCCTCTGATTGGGTTGTTGTCGGAGTTCTCGGGTCAAGAATGAGGAAGGGGGGGTACTCCTTGGTAAGATTTTACTCACAAGGGGGGTAGGGGTAATCACAGATAAGTGAAAATGTTCGGAACGGTCGAGTTCAAAACATGGCAGAAATCAGGGAGGGAGCGAGGAAGGGGGGGGGGGGGAGCGTGGGACGGAAGATGAAGTGCGAATTAGTTTTGTACCTTGTTACAAAGAAGGAGAGTTCACCTTATAACAAATCGTGGAGAGGCAAAGGATTGATCAAAAGGCAGTAGAAACTTGAAGGACGTATCCAGCAAATGATCAACTGTGCGCCAAATTATCTTTGAGATAGAGAGAATATGCTCAACGCGTGCATTTTTGATATCAAAATCTGGATACTTCTTCTTCATAGTAAGATCAACTTTCTGGAATGAAAGGTGTTTCGTTCAGAGCCTGACCCCTGACTTTGGCACCAAAACATAATGTTCTCAATCCACGACTTTGTATAATCTGCAGTCTGCAGGCTCGACACATGGCGGGAAAGATTTCTTCAGATTGAGAAGACAGAGGGAATGAAGGGTGAGCTTGACGACCATTGTTTGCCTCTCCGTGTTGCGCTCCCGTCCCTCCCCTCTGTTTACCCCCTCCCCTCCCCCTCCCCCTCTCGTCACCCCCGTCCCCTTACCCACCGACCTCTCAAGTTCATTTCAGAAACCTCCAGCAACGTCTGCTGGGTGCACACGTCCAACTTGCAATGGGATCTCGCTCAGATTGTCGAGACTACAGAGGATGACAGTTACTTGCTCAGGCTTTCCTGCGGCTCCTCAAAAACGGTAGGTGGAGGAGGAGGAGGAGGTAGAGGAGGACAGAATTCTGACTGTATCGCAGGTTCCGATCTCCCAGACACTTCCAGTCAATGCGATCGACGCACAAGACATGGATGATCTGACCAAGGTGAGAAAGCAGGACCTTGAAGGGAGGGGAAAGAAGAGACGAGACAGAGACGGAGAGCAAAGGATAATAGAAGTTTAGGGAGGGTGGTCGTAGAGTCGGAGAGGCAAGGGCGTGGCAAATACATCATGACGTTCCTTCAGCTGCAGTACTTGGACGAACCGAACATCCTAAACGCGCTGAGGAGGAGGTATGCCGAGGATAAGATCTACACCTATACTGGCGACATTCTCATCGTCGTCAATCCCTGGAAGGAGATTCCCTCGCTCTACAGCGCTGACTGCATGCAGCGATACCAGAGGATGGGAGCTGCACGCCTCCCGCCTCACGCGTTCGCCATGGCCGATGCAGCGTACCACGCGATGCTGAGAGAGGGGAATCAGAGTGTGCTGGTGAGCGGGGAGAGCGGGTCAGGCAAGACGGAGGCGACGAAGCATCTCATGCAACACCTCGCTGGCCTCAGTGGCCTAGAGGTTCAAGGGGACGGAGGAGGAGGAAGCAGCATCGAGCGGCAGGTGCTGGGGTCAAACCCGCTCCTCGAGGCCTTCGGGAATGCCAAGACCATCCGCAACGACAACTCTTCCCGGTTTGGGAAATTCATCCAACTGTTCTTCGAGAGGAGCGAGGGGAAAGGGTGCACGGCGTCGGCAGAGGATGGGGACGGAGAGGCTGACAGCAGAGGGGATGGAGGGGGGAGGGAGAGTGCTCACCTAGTTGGGGCAGCGATCCAAACGTACCTGCTGGAGAAGTCGCGTATCGTCAAGATCGCGGAGAAGGAGAGGAACTTTCATGTCTTCTACCAGCTCTGTGCTGCCGCCCAGCATCCGGATGCGGAGGAGTTGCAGGTCGCAGAGCTCGGGCTGGAGGCGGCCGACAAGTACGTGAGCCTGGCGGCAGGAGGAGCCGTGAGAGAGGAGGGCAAGGACGACCATGCCGCCTTCCTTCGCACTCTCAAGGCGATGGACCTAGTGGGGGTGCGGGAGGAGGAGCGACGTGAAATGTTCCGCGTGCTAGCTGCCATCCTCCACCTCGGCAACCTGGCGTTCACGTGGACCGGAGAGACCTGCGAGCTCGTGCCGGACCCCCGCGACCCGCTAGGCAAAGCTGCTGCCCTCCTCGGCTGCTCCTCCTCGCAGCTTCAGGAAGTTCTTCTGCGCCGACAGATCCGGGCAGCGATGGAGACGGTGAGCATGGAGTTGTCGGAGGAGCAGGCGGAGGCGTCACGGGATGCCATCAGCAAGGCCCTCTACTCGCAGCTCTTCCACTGGCTCGTTGCTCGCGTCAACCAGACGCTCCGCCTGCATGATGGCCGTCCAGAGAGGACGGACTCCTCCTCCTTTTTCCCTCCTGCCTCCTCCTCCTCCTCCTTCTCCCCTCCCTCTTCCCTGCGCATCGGGATCCTCGACATCTTCGGCTTCGAGATCTTGGAGACCAACAGCTTCGAGCAGCTCTGCATCAACTTTGCCAACGAACGTCTGCAGCAGCAGTTCAACCACTTCGTGCTGCGGAGGGAGCAGGAGGAGTACGTGGAGGAGGGGATCGAGTGGAGCTACGTGGACTTCAGCGACAACCAGGCGTGTGTGGAGCTGCTGGAGAACCGGAGCTCCGGCATCTTTGCGATGCTGGACGAGGAGGGTAGGGTCCCAGGAGGGTCGGACGAGGGGTTTGCGCACAAGGTGAGGAGGACGAGCCATGCGCACGTGGCGGCTCCGCGTCTCGCCCCCCTCAGCTTCCTCGTCCGCCACTACGCGGGGGACGTGACGTACGAGTGCCGCGGGTTCCTTGCCAAGAACCAGGACATCCTCGGGCTCGACCTCCAGCTGTTCCTTACCTCCCGCTCCTCTCCCTTCCTCCGCTCTCTCTTTGCGGGCTCCGAAGCTGGTCCTGGAGACACCTGTTCTTCTCCCTCTCCCCGCTCTGAGGTGGGAGGTCAGCTGGGGAAGAGCTGGGGAAGGAGCTCGCTGCCGTCGGCAGCTGAGAGTCAGAGCTCGCAGTTCAAGCGCCAACTCCGTGGGCTGTGCGAGGCGATCGCGGCAACGCACCCTCACTTCCTCCGCTGTCTAAACCCCAACCCCTCCAAGATGCCCGCCCGCTTCTTGGACCCCCTCGTCCTCCTCCAGCTCCGCTGCGGGGGTCTCATCGAAGCCGTTCGCATCTGCCGTGCTAGCTTCCCAGCTCGCCTCTCCTTCCGGGAATTGATGCTTAGGTATGGAGGGCCCGCGAGCCTTCGCTGTCAACGGCCAGCCTCCTCCTCCTCCTCCTCCTCCTTCTCTCCCTCCAACGCTACAGTTGAGCATGTGCGGGAGCTACTGGCGGTGTGGGGGGCGAGCGAGGCCTCCTACAGCATCGGGCGGACGAAGATCTTCATGCGAGCTGAGCTGGCGGAGCTGCTGGAGAGGGAGCGTGTCAAGGCCATCGCCGCCTCCTCGTCCATTCTCATGCGGGCAGGCAAGGCAGCGTGTGCTCGGAGAGAGCTGGGGAAGAAGAGGAGAAGCGCCTTGCTGCTTCAGGCATGCGCCAGGATGTCCATCGCGAGCCACGTGCGGGCACTGCGAATGTCGAGCAGCTCATTGCAGGCAGCAGTGCGAGCAAGCACAGCACGGGAGCAGCTGGACAAGACTAAGGATGCTGTCGCTTCTCTCACCCGGTTCCTCCTCTGCTCCTCCCCCTCCGTCCGTGAGAGGAAGCAAAGGATCGAAGATGAGCAGCGTGAGGAAGAAGCGTTGAGGGTGAAGCAAATCAGTGCGTCAGATCAAGTCGATGAGAAGGAAGTCAGAGAGAAAGTAGATCGAGAGGAGGAAGGTAAGATAGGAAAGAAAGGAGAGAGGGAGGAGAATGGAAGATAGGAAAGAAAGGAGAGAGGGAGGAGAATGGAGGTAAAGAGAAGAAGGTAGAGAGGGAGGAGAATGGAGGTAAAGAGAAGAAGGTAGAGAGGGAGGAGGAAGGTAAGTTAGGAAAGGAAGGAGAGAGGGAGCAGGAAGGTACAGAGGAGGAGGCGAAGCAAGGGAAGGGACGAAGGCTTGAGCCTCGCCCTGCTCAACTTTCGACCAGCCAAGAGGAGCACGAGGGAGCGTGCGCGCAGCTCCTGCTGGAGGAATCGCCGTCAGAGACTAGAGGAGGAAGGTGGTCGAGGACAAGGAGCATGATGGGCAGCTGCACCAACCCAACTTGCTCCTTGTCCAAGAAATCTCTCGAGAATCGTCTGAGAGAGATGGAGGATGTGAGCTTCTCCTCTCCCTCCCTCTCCTCCTCCTCCTCCTCCTCTCTCTCTCTCTCCTCTCTTCTCCTCCTCCTCCTCCACATTCTTCTCCTCCACCACCACATCCTCCTTTCTCACTCTCTTACCTTGTTTGCTGTCTCTGCTTTCACTTTCTTCTGCTCTTTCGCTTTCCTTTCCTTCTGTTTGTTGAGCGAGGTTGCAGGAGAAGAGGAGGATCGAGAATCTCTACTACGAGGAGGCGGCAGACAACAAGGCCCTGAGGAGGAAGCTGCAGGAGCTGAGGGAGGAGGTGGAGGAGCACAAGAAGAAGTCACTGGCGACCAAGATGAGCGAGAGGAGGCGGCAGGAGGGGAAGGAGAACAGCTGGGAGGAGGAAAGGGACGAGCGACTGCGAGCGATGGAGGAGGAGGTCAAACGCTGCCGACAGCGAGAAGAAGCGTAAGTGGAGAGGAGGAGAGCGAGAGAAAGTGAGAGAAGGGTGAGGAGGAGGGCAGGAGGAGGAGGAAGAAGGACGGTGTGGGAGCAGGAGTGTGCTGACTTGTGTCTCAGGCTAAAGGCTCAGAACACGAAGCTGCAGAAGCAGCTGAACATCAGCCAGAAGTTCGCGATCAGGCGCATCGGACAGATCTGTGCCGCGTTCGGAGAAACGAGCGAGGAGGGGAGATGAGGAGGAGAAGAGTTGAAATGTACATGACATCAAGGCTTGCTAAGAATTGTGACTAGCGTCCTCATCGCGGCTAGGAGAGACCTGGACCGCGAGCGGATGTCACCAGCCAGTTTGTCCATTTGCTCCTTGTGACTGTAGAAAGTGAGAAGAAAACCTTCCTCCACCTCCTCCTCTTCCTCCCCTCCTCCTCCTCCTCATTTCTCCTTCCTCACCATCCCCATCCCTCACTCACCTCCGGATCTGCCGCAACTCGATGTTCTCGCCCTCCAATGCTCTCTGCCATCCTGTCTCGTAGGCCTGGGCCGATGTGACTTGCAAGAAAAGGAGCGACGGGAGGAGAGGAGGGGAGAGCACGAGCAAGGAGAGGAGAGGAGGGGAGAGCACGAGCAAGGAGAGGAGAGGAGGAGTGAACCTGCTGGGCAGTAGCAAAGGAGGCGCAAGTAGTCTTGAAGTGGAGGAGGAAGTCGAGGATCCTCTGGATGCCGTTGATATTGTGGCTGTCCCTGCCCTTCACCTCACCCACCTCACAGTCTCCTCTTCCTCTTCGTCATCTCCATCATCATCATCATCATCATCATCATCTCCATCATCATCTCCTCCTCCATCATCATCTCCATCATCATCTCCATCATCATCTCCATCATCATCATCTCCATCATCTCCTCCATCATCATCATCATCATCATCATCATCATCATCATCATCATCATCATCATCATCATGCTCATCATCATCATCTCACCTCGACACTTTCGCCTCCTCCTTGAGACTCATCAGCTTCTCGATGCCTTGATGGGAGTGCAACAGGAGCCGGCTGAGCTCTCTGTCCTCTCGCGCCATGAAGCTCTGCGATGAACGATCCACTGAGCTTGTAGAAGAGAAGGGAAGAGGACGTGGAGGAAGGCAGGGAGGAGAGAGAGAGTGGAAGGGAGCAGGGGCAGCAGCAGGGCACCTCAAGCATTCGTGTCCAGTCCTTGAGGCATTCCAGCATTTTTTCCAGTGGAGAAGAATTCGGTCGAGCAGCAGGTACCCTACGACAAAAAGACGTCCTCTCCTGCAAACTCTTCATCCGCCGCCGTCCCCTCCTCCTCTCCTTGCCGCCTCCTCTGCCCTCCTCCTCTCCTCTCCCTTTCCTCACTTGTCGCTCCTCTCCTCTCTCTTCCTCTCCATCTTCCTTCTCTCCCTCCGTCCTCACCACCGTCACGAAGTAATCAGCCGTCGTCATACCAATCCTCCTCCTCATCTTCAGCTGCACGCAGGAATCGACCGGACCACAGAGGAGGTTCTCGATTTCGGCAGTCTCCATGCCCTGCACTGCGTGCTTGCCGATGGCAACAACCTGATCCCCTGCACCTCCGTCAGGCACCTCCTCCTCCCCGGGTCACAGCAAGACGCACCGATCATGATCGACCGTCCCTCGATCACTTTGCACAAGTCCATCACCTGCGACACCACCAGCTCCCCCCTCGTTGCCATCTGACACGTTCGTCACTTCCTGCCACCTCACGCCCCCACCCAATCACTCAAGCACCCTGCCTGCTCCTTCTCCTTCTCCCAGTCCTGCTCCTGCTCCTTCTCCTGCTCCCAGTCCTGCTCCTGCTCCTTCTCCTGCTCCCAGTCCTGCTCCTGCTCCTTCTCCTGCTCCCAGTCCTGCTCCTGCTCCTTCTCCTGCTCCTCCCCCTCTTTCCTTCTCCTCCCCCCTGCTTCGCCTCCTCCAATCTCGTCGCAGCCTCTCCCTTCTCATCCTTCCCTCCCTCTTTCCTCATCCCAGGGAAGAAAACTACCATTTCAGGGTAAAACCTCAATCCGACCGAAAATTGCAGCTCACTGTTTGAATCTTGAGACGACAAGAGTCAAAAACCTTCACACTGCAAGCAGAACCGACCGACCTGGCACAACAGTTCCAGACGACGACGCTGCCTCACTGCCTGCCGCTCGGATGCCGGACGCGGTGGCAGGGGATGGCTGAAGTCTTGAAGGCGCCACGTTGCAAGGTTGGTGGGTCATGACTTGCCTTTCCTCCCCTCGTGGGTCGGAGAGGTCTCGGGCGGCTGCTGCTGGGTAGCTGATAGAGACTCTCCCAAAGGAAGTCTGCGAGAGAGGGGTCGCCTTGTGCGCGTTTGACGCTGCCGAAGCTCTCGATATGGTAGCAGCTGCTGTTGTGTTCCTGATCGCTGACGACGTCGAAGATGGTGGTCGTGCCGCTGGTGTTGTTGTTGAGGATGACGATGATGCTATTGGTGATTTTGCGACTGCTGCTGTTGATGATGCTGTCACTGATGTTGATGATGACCTCGCTACTGCTCCCATGCCTGATGAAGTTGGTAATCTTGCAACTGTCGCTGTTGTTGAGAAGGATGATGATGCTGCTTCTGCGCTTTGCGGTCGACCTGACGGCTGCAACCCTGCCGTTTTTGTCCGTTCTGCATGTTGCCCGGAGTTTTGAGAATTCGATGGCAGGTCAGAAGACAGAGAGGAGGAGGAGGGATTGACGAAGAAGCCCTGACGAATGACTAGCTCATTCTGGCGAGAGAGCGCGAGGATCTGACAAGTCCAGCCACAGTCAGACAGGGAGCAAATGATCCAAATCAAGGGGAAGAAATTCTGAGATGAGGAGGATGCAGGGAGGGGGGAGGGAGGAGGAAAGAAAGAAGCCTCTCACTTCTTGCAGTTCCATTATCGTTTTATGATCTTGAGCGAAGTTGAGACAAGGGTCATCTGCCGTCGTCTCCTTGCACATCATCAGGTCATATGCTCGCGCTGCAAGCTTGGCCGACTTGAAAGGGGAGTAGCTGATCTGCAGGTAACACAAGGTGAACACTCACTCTTCCCCTCCCCTCCCTGGCCCCAGTCCTTCCATCATCCCCCAAGATTCATCGTCCTCACCTTTGAGCCATTGATGTTTGCGATTGCTCGATAGGTGCCGTCTGCGTTCCGTTCGATCCCCTTGTAAGGCGCTGGCAAGGTCCGTCGAGGCGGCTGGCAAAGGAACAAAATCAATCTCGGTCAGGAGAGAGAAGGCAATAAGTCACTTGAGAGGGAGGACGAGGAGCAGGAGGAGGAGACATCAGTTGAGCGTGAGGGCGAGCAATCTTGTTGTCACGAGGGTCAGCAGATGCGTCTGGTTTTCTTTTCAAGGGGGGGACTGGCCCTTTTTCCCTCTGGTGCCCAACTGCCTGGGGAAAAGGATTTAAATTCGAATTTGAAAGAAACCGGAAAACCGGGGGGGGGGGGGGGGGGGAGGAGGCTGGGGAGTTGACAAATGAAAGTGACGCACCTGAGGATTCGCGGTATTTTTCAAACTCAAATCAGCACCGCCCGACTTCGCTTGCCTAACGTGGATCTCCTTGCACTGGGGCACGGCAACGAACAGCTTCTTCGTCGGGAAGTACTTCTGCTCGTAGAAAAAATTGTTCTCCTCCTTCACGAAGCGAGCCAACTCGCCGGGAGGGATCCCTGACTTGTGGACTATGTTGCAGGTAGTGGAAATGGTAGTAAGGTACTGTTCGTCGTAGTGGTCCGAAGCAAACACTTCCTTGGGGTGCCTCGGATCAGAGCAATGGACCTCGAACGACGAGTAGAACCAGTTGCATCGCATCATCTTGAAGCCGTCCGCAACGTTCTCCCACAGCTCCAGGACGCGGGCAAGAAAGTAAGGATGCCCTTTAGGAGCGATCAACTTCACCGTCGACCCGATCCCAATCTTCTCCTCCTCCTTGAGCATGACCGCCTCATAGTACTTCCTCTCCTTCTCCTCCTTCACGCACTCTCCTACCCATCTGAACTGAGAGTGAATCTTCTTGAGCACCAGGAGCTCTGTTTCCCTGGCCCTTCTCGCCGCCTCGTCGCTCGTCTCCACTATCAGGTCGTCACACTGGAAGTCTGCCGGCACATCCTCGCAGATTTGAGACTTCACCTCCTCTTCCTCCTCCTTTGCCTCCAAATCTCTTGCATTCTCCCCATCCTTCTCCTTCTCCTCTTTTCCCCTATCTTCTTCTTGCCCATTCCCAACCTTTTCTATCCTGTCCACCTCCTTCTCTCCCGCTCCCTCTTCATTTCTGCCCTCTCTGTTGTGATCCCCATGGTATGCGTTTGACGTCAGATGTTCACGCTCGCTCGTCTTGTCGCAATCGGACGATTCCACGTCTTCCGCCTCCTGCAAGATTCACGTCAGCGAGTGAGACGAACAACGAGCTTGTTCACCGAGGGAGAGTACTCTTGTGGAGACTCAGAGGCTGCAGCAACGTGTGAGGTGAAGTGAGGGCAGGAGCAGGAGGGCAAAACCTGAAATGTCGAGGTTGTCTTCGCTCTCTGTCCGCTCATCCAACACCTCTACCGAGTCATTTTCCGAGCTGCACGCTGCCGATGACTTCTGCAGAGCGTCTTGTATACATCTCTCAGATATGGACTCGTACGAGATTGCCATGCGTATTCCTTGTGCGAGCCCAGGAACTTCGTCGACAAAGAATATTTGCTTCTGTGCTGCAGATGCCGGAAGCGGCTCCGAAAGAAACCTGATACCAAACTTTGTCTTCTTGTACAGCTTGTCTGCATCCTGGGAACAGCTTCGCAGATCACAAACGATCGGAATGCCATAATGTGTGTCCACGTCATCGATCTGCAGATCTCGACTCGCAGTCTCGTCGGGAGTCGCGCGAGCATTCATGAACGAGTCCAATGAGAACGCCAGAAACAAGCCAGACCAGAGGGATGAGGATCGTTCAGTCACGACGACAAGCACCTCGCCATCGGCTCCGGCAGCCCTGGAGACTCGAAAGACAAACGAAACTCCCTCACATGCCTCGGCGGTCACGAGATCTTCCGGAAGAGCATCATGCGGAATCGAAACACGAGCGATGAGGAAGCTGCAAAAAGGGTCGGACCGATCGCGCCGAGAAGCTTCTTCACCATACAGTAGCTCATCATGCAGGTAGTCTGCGACATGTCGTCCTCTCAAGTGCTCTTGAAGTTTCGCTTTCCGAATGGTCATGGCTTGCAGCCTCAACAAACAGGACCATTCCTCTCCCTCTCCCTCTCCCTCTCCCTCTCCCTCTCCCTCTCCCTCTCCCTCTCCCTCTCCCTCTCCCTC